ATAAAAGTGTTCTACATGAAAATCTACATCTATAGTTAAAATTTTGTAATTTTAGCAAATAATAATAAAGAAATTCGCATTATTAAAAAAAGTCTGTGAATTGTTAAGTTTATGAGCCTACTATAAGGCTCGCGAGCCTACTATGAGGCTCGAGCCGAGCCTAAGACTTTTGGGCTCGGCTCGGCCTGAGCTTTACGAGGCTCGGCTCGGCTCGGCCTATGAGGAGCTTTATATGAACCCGCTCCATTCAACAGTTTGATATACAGTTCGTGTAACTATTCAGAGAAATTTATTAGTAATGATTGTCCCCCAAATTTTACTAATTAATTTGTTTACTTCTATCACGGATCACGAATTAAATGTATTCCCTCAAAGTATTTTTTTTTTTTTGATTTATTGAGTAAACTAGAAGTTATCAACAGGATATTCCTCTCCTTATTCTACTTCTTTTAATAACTATATTTATCAAATTTTTTTCTAATTACTCTTAAGTAATATATAATTATAGTTACACGGATTTTCAACGCTTTAGGGACATGGTCCAGTGACTGATAGCCCATCAAGGATTTTCTTCAAAAAAAAAAAAAAAAAAAAAAAAAATTCATGATGTTTCTTCCCACACAACTTAAATTGTTGCAACAATTTATCCAACTTAAAAATTTCAATTATAGAAATATCAATATCAATTATTTTAATTATTTTAAAAATTTTAATTATTATAAAAATTCTTTTACTCGGAGTTTTATTGCCACACCTACGGTCTTTAGAACCAAAAGAAAGAAACCCATTGAAGATAGTCAAAATTGTGAAAATAGACATCAAATAAAATATGTTTGTACTGCAAGACTTCGAATGTGGGCACCTGAAGAAATTCAAAAACTTGTTGAAGGAGTTAAAAAATATGGAAATAAATGGAATCAAATTTCCGAAGTATGTTTTTCAAAGCAGAGAACTCCTTATTCTTTAGAAATCAAATGGAAAAGGTTGAGAAATACCATAAAACAAAATCTTGATATTAATGATATTAGTGATATAAATAATTTAGATGAGGATAAATTATTTTCAACCACAACCATATTAACTCCAGCTAAAACTCGTACCAAAAAAATTCCATGGAGACAACATGAAATTGAAAAACTTGTTAAAAGTGTTGAACAACATGGAACGAATTGGACATATATATCAGAGCGTATATTTGAATCTAAGAGATCAACTCATGCAGTTTATACAAAATGGCGAACGTTATGCCTTAGTAAAGAGAGAACAAATGAAGAAATTAGTAATAATCCGGTATTTTATGTAAAACAAAGTTGGACACCACAAGAAGTTGATTTACTTTTAAATGCGGTTGAGACATATGGAAAACAATGGAAAAATATTTCTAAAGTAGTTTTTAAATCTAAGCGAACACCTCATTCTTTACTTCAAAAATGGGCACATATTTATAAAAAAAATTTAGAATATGATAAAAAACAATGGGGAATTACGGAAGATGGTAAATTAAGAGAAGGGATTTTATTATATGGATTTGGAAATTGGGATAAAATACGATGTATTATACCACATAGAAGTGAAGAACAATTAAAAAAGAGATGGAATATGTTAAATAATAATTGGAATTTAGAAAATGATAAATTATTACTTGATCTTGCTAATAAAAATAATCATAATTTAACAATAGTTAGTAAAATGATAGGTAGAACTTTAGAACAAGTTAGTGAACGATATAAAAAACTTAATGAACAAAATTGGTCAGAAGAAGATGAAATAAAATTATTTAAAGCGATACAATATTATGGAAGTGAAAATTGGTCAAAAATAATGGAATCATTTCCTGATAAAAGTTTATTACAAGTTCGAAATTATTATTTTAAAAATCGGAAATCTAATCCATTTATTAAAAGAGGATTGTGGACACCAGAAGAAATAAATACATTAAAAGAATCAATTAATATTTATGGAGAAGATTGGTTACAAATTGCTAGACATGTTAAAACAAGAAATGGAAGACAATGTCGAGAATATTGGTTTTATCATTTACGTAGACCATTGAAGATACTTACTTACAATGATTTATGATTTATTATTTATTATTTATTAGCTAAAGTCATTTAAAGTTATTTAAAGTTATTTAAAGTTATTTAAATTGTTTATTTTAAATAAATTACGATAAAATTATATTTTTTTTTTATTATTATTTATATATTATTTTATTTTATTCTATTCTTGATTTCTTTTAATGTTTAATAAAAAAAAAATAATAATAAATAGGTTCGGGACTGATAATAAACCTTAGAAGATTTTATTATCTCTAGAGTACCTCAACAACTATATCCTTATTTTAATAATGGAAAAGTCTTTCTTGTACTGATTTCATCTCAGAAAAACCATTGTTGCAACTTTCTGAATTAATAAAGAAAGAAATAATAATGTGAAGTTAATAAAATTATTCTTATCCTAAACCCGGTCAGGTTAAAAGTTTTCTCTACATCTCTAAAAGCATGGGTTAATTGGTGAATGTAAAATCTCCATGTGGTGACCCTTCTCTTTATAGTCACAAAATATAAATAAGTCACTTTTTAAAATCTCATCTTTATAGTAACACCAGGAAATCCAGTAATTATAAAGATCACAATCGGCGAGAATCAGGTTATCTCATTCTGTCAGAAGATAGAGAATCAGAGGTATCCCTCTCTGGGAGACCTGTTCACAGGTTTCTTAATTATAAAAAATTTTAAATTATAATATAAAAGGTAACTAACAATAGTTCATTTCTTCGTTTCTATTTTCTATTACATTACATATATGTATAACTTTACAAGTTTATATGGGATTAAGGTCTAAGTTTTTAATAACTCCCTATCGTTTCCACTTTTTTGATTTCTTTGAATACCTTAAGAGTTAGACATGTTTGAACTTCACACGCTACGTAACATTAACATTAATGTCTACTTAGTGTTACCCTAAATGTCGTCATGTGGATCAATGAATGAACAGGGATATAAATATAAAGATAAAAAATTCATGCAGGAAATAAATATGACTAACAACAAAAAATCGATTGCATATTTTCGAGTAGCTCTTAATAATAATAATAATAATAATAATAATAATAATGATAATATCCAACAACAGGAAAGAGCAGAAAAAGTATTTTATGTAAAGACACTTTGGAAAATTGATTCATTAAAGGACCTTACATATCCAGACGATAAAGTTGTTTGTGATTTAACTGTTACTGATTGTAAAATATTTTGGACGAAAACTGGTAAAATGAATTAATTAATTCTCATTTTTTTTTGGTTATTGGAATATTAATTTTTTGATTAATTAATTAATTAATTATATTATCTGCTATATTAAATGTTATATTAAATAATGTTATTATTTTTTTTAATATAAAAAGTTACAATTATTGATTTGAAACGGACCAAACCCGAGAATATAAGAGATATTTCAAAATTCTGTGGAGCTACGTGGGCAGCACTATCAGGATTTGATGAATATGAAAATCATAAATTAACTTGTAAAATTGCTGTTTCAGAAAATCATGCTAGAGTATGATTTTTTATTTAATTATTTAATTTTATTATTTTAATTTATTTTAATTTAATTTATTTTTATTTTTAATTCATTAATTAATAATTTTATTTTATTATTAGTTTTCATGGAGATGGTCAATGGAAAATGCTTCCCTTACTTCATTGGTGTTGTATTAAAGAAATTATTATTTTTATTATTATTTATTATTGTTTTTATTTCTTATCTAATGGTGTTATTTACAAAAAAAAACCCTCCAATTTAAAGAATAGACCTTGAAATTTAATTTAGGAAATATTTCATTAACACCAATTTCATCAACTGAAAATTCTAAATTTTTTCAAGAATGGATAGATTTTTTTATTAAAGAACGACAACAATTTATGGTATAATTATTTATTAATATATTCTTTTAATTAATAACTTTAATATTCTTTTAAAAAAAATTATTTTTTTCTTAAAGAATAAAAATGCATCACTCGAGACACGTATAAATGATTTACAAAATACACGTGATCGAGCACAAGAAAGAATTGAAATGATGACTGCAGATAAAATTAATCATGAAACAATTCTAATGGAAAAGGTATATTTACATGTGTATATATTAATATTTATTATTTAAATTTATTAATTTTATTTTTACTTGTTAAATAAAAAATATGAAAATAAAAAATATTTTATAACCAGTTTAAAAAAGTTCTCAATGCCAAAAAGAAGAAAATTAAAAAATTAATGAAAGCATTAAATACAAATGGTTAATATTATTCCAAAGGTGATAATGATTATTATTATTTATTTAACCTTCTAATATAAAATTTTCTTTAAAATTATAGGTACAATAATTTCTACAAGTCAGAAACCAATACAATCACCTACGATGATGATTTCAGGAGAAGAAGAAGAGGAAGTGGTTTCTGATGAATTAGATGGATCTAATGATAATAATGTTGATAATGAAATGTTGTTTAATAATTTTATAATAATAAATATCAATATTATCAAAAACTCAACTTCTAATCCTTCTTTTCTTCTTTCTTCTTCTTCTTCTCTCTTCTTCCTTTTCTCTATTCTTCTTCTCCTCTTAGTTCTTCTAAGAAAGTAAAATTAGATAATAAAAAACAATCATCATCATCACCACCACCAATATCTCAACAATTACCAACTGAATCATCAATTACATCAAAAAGTTATCGTGGTCATATTGTAAAATCCCGAAGGTAATTGATTTATACACATGTTTCCACTCCACATTGTATATTTTACACACATTTAATATTTATTTTGATAATTTTATAGGATGATTCGTAAAGCGCCTAACACTACAACCGTCACAACCACCGATAATACCAACAGTAATAACAACAACAACAACAACACCATCACAACTATCAACAATAACAATAAAAGTACTTCTCTTGATGATATTTTGGTTCCAGTTGATAACAATTTACATGAACCATCACGTGAATCTCAAGATTATAATGATGATTATGATATGGTAGACAATGCTGATAATTTATTAGATCAGTTATAATAATAAAGGTCGCACAATTAAATTACATAAATTATATAAATTATATAAATTATATAATAAAAATAAAAATACAATTGATATAAATCATTTGACTGATCATTTATTGATGATCGCTTGTTATGATCGTCTATTTATTTTATTGATGATCGCTTATGGCTGATGGGTTTTTTTCCTTTTATGAAAGTGACAAAGCCGTTAGAAAAAAAACATAATTGAAAGTTTTATGAAAATTTTCTAGATGGATAGATGGGCTTCTTTCGTCTGAGCCCGCATAGTAAGCATAGTAAAAATGTGAAAATGTGAAAAAAAGAATAAATGAAATAAACGACGATAATGACAAATTAAAAAAGCCTCGAGAATTTTGTGGCTCTGTTTTTTTTTTAAAAAAAAAAAGCAGCCTCGATTATTTTGAAAAATATTTGTGGCTCACTCTTTTTTTTAAACAAATCTTTTCTAAAAATAGTATTCAGTGATCGATTGTTATTACTATCTTTTTTTACGCGTTTAATGATTTTTATTTTTATTTATAAAAAAATATACTTGTCACCGTTGGGCAAATTAACAAAGGGTTAGGATCAGGGAATTATGTAATTTTGCCCAGTGGTGACAAACACCATTGGTGACAAATAGATTTACCATTTATTTATTATATAAAGATACACATAGATCTGAATATGAAGGAGAATAATAATATAAAAGAAACCACCTTAAAATTTTTTATTACAATTCTCTAAGAGATGAAGATGATGATACAGAGAAAATTCATTGAAAGACTATTTTTAGAAAATAATGATAGAATGCTAAGCAAAAATGACATAAAAGAGATGAAATTCATTCAAAGATAATGTTGGAAACAATTAAATCCGATCACTTATAGCCACTCGATCATAGAACAAAACAAACGACAATAAACAAAGAAATGGCTTATCCGAAAATAATAAAGAAATGGCTCAGTGAAATTAACTAAAAAATGGCTTATTTGATTTTTGACAATAAAGCAGAACAATGTTTTAATCGAGCCACAGATTATAATTAAACCTATTATCGACTTTAGGATGTCAAAAAGTTATATAAACCCCACCAATCCCCCAAGCTTTAAATCCTCACTCATCTGTCAAATAAACAAATAATAAACAAATAATAAACAACAATAAACAAATAAAAAAAAACTTCAAGATGAATTCCAAAATCGTTTTCTTCTTGTGTGCTTTATTCGCTATTGTTCTTTTAGCAAACGCAGCACCTGGGGTCCACAAACGTGAACCTGAAGCAGAAGCTGCCAACTTCAAACGTGACGCTGATGCCACTGCCGACCCATACTACTACTACTACTACTACCCATACTACTACTACAAACGTGACCCTACTGCCAACCAACAAAAACGTGATGCTATGCCTTCCGCTGATGCCACTGCCGACCCATACTACTACTACTACTACCCATACTACTACTACAAACGTGACCCTACTGCCAACCAACAAAAGCGTGATGCTATGCCTTCTGCTGATGCCACTGCCGACCCATACTACTACTACTACTACCCATACTACTACTACAAACGTGACCCCACTGCCAACCAACAAAAGCGTGATGCCATGCCTTCCGCTGATGCCACTGCCGACCCATACTACTACTACTACTACTACCCATACTACTACTACAAGTCATAAATCCATTACCATCAAAGAGATCTATCTTTCAATCCTTTTACTATTTTTCCATAGTATGGTGACGAAGTCAGAAAATTCCAAAGAACGTAGCCTTCACAGTTTTTTTCTTCTAAAAAAAAATTTGTAAATAATATAAATAGAAAATTTGGTCTACCACTTTTGTAAATATTTTAAACAAATTAATCTATTATTGCTCTTCGAAATGTAAATATAAAAATTTGGTCTACCACTCTGTAAATATTTTTAAAAACAAATAAATAAATTAATTTATTACTCTTTGGAACGCAAACAAAATTTTCGGTTTCTCTACCAATTAACATGCTATAAATTGATACAATTGTGCAATTTGCGTTCGTTGTCTCAAACCGTTGACATATATATATATATAAAGAATATATCTTTAAATTTGCATGGCCCTTAGTTATTAATGAGATATTATTATATAAGTTGACTTCATTTATTTTTTAACTTAAAAAAAAATTAAAAGACCAGTTTTATTTTTTATTTTGCTTTAAACAAATGTTTTCTGTGTATTAATATTCTTATAAAAAGAATTATAACTTTTTAAGGACGCGAGCGTTATGCAAAACTTTTCGTACATCCCATAATTGGACAAGAAACTGAAACTGGATTTTGAATATTTGATTAAGTAGATTTAAGTAAGTGCATGAAGTTAGATTGATTGAGATGATTTCGTATAGTGATATTTCTAAAACGATATAGCCACCTTTTTAATTCTTCTAATTTATCCAAATAATAATATAATAAATATGTATGTACGCATAAATATATCATGTGAGATATAACTGACTAATAATCTGATAAAAAATGATCAGCCAATGAAAATTTTATTAAACTACAAAAAACGTTTAATACGTTTTAATACGCGTCATTATAAATCTTTTCATTTTCATCCTTAATCACATGCTTGGTGATTTTTGAAGTCAATTTTTTAGAAAGAAATACACACTCAAATAATACCAATAATACCAATAATAATATTAGATATGCGAATAAAACTCGAATTCGAAGAATTGTTAAATACTCAACGCGTTTGGTTTTCTATAACTGAACAAAGGAAGCATAAATCAATAAAAAATCTGGAAAAGTTTATTATGCATGTATTTCATTTGGAGGAGATATGCCCAAACGGTATCATTTTGGAATTGGATGAGTCCAGACTTTTTTCAAGTTCAAAGGTTGGCGATTTGATCAGAGAAGACAATTTAATTAGGTAAGAATTCTTATAATAAGGATAACATGAATATGATGAAGGTAACACTTTTCGTTATAAAAAAGAAAAAAATCTTATAATAATTGATGTATTATTTATTTATAGTAAACTTGCAGCACAATTAAGAGTTTATTAATTAATTTATTATAAACATTTTATTTAGGGTTAAAAGGGTGAACACACTTGTTACAGACCAATCAGAGAAAAATATATGTCCTTCTTCACAAGTTTTACAAACTAAATCTGACACCGATAAACGTGATGAATCAAGAAAATCTGACATCGATAAACATGATGAATTAATGAAAACTGATACATTATTGGGAGGACCATCCGCTAAAAAGAGAAAAAATAATGGGTCGATTTATAATCAAATTGATTCTTCTTCAGAATCTGATGTATCAACTGGGAACACTAAGAAATTAAACAGTTATCCTAATGGCGATCAAATAATAAGAGAGGTTAATGGAAAAAACAAAGATGTGGGATTAATGTCCACTTATCATAATTATAATTCTTCATCATTATTGAATAATGAAAGTAGTCAAGATTCATTATCGAATAATGAAATTAGTCAAGATTCGTTATCGAATAATGAAAGTAGTCAAAATTCGTTATCGAATAATGAAAGTAGCCAAGATTCATTATTGAATAATGGAAGTAGTCAAGATTCGTTAACATCAACAGACACTTCTAATAATTCCTCATCAATGAGTGAGAGTAGTGAAAGTTCATATCAACGAGGTTTATTTGAATTTTCTGATTTGTCATCAAGTGAAAGTGAAAGTAATGAAAGCAGCGAAAGTAGCGAAAGTACTAGTGAAGAAGAAGAATCAAGTGATGGAATGGAAACAAATGATTCTGAAGATAGTGAAGATAGTGAAGATAATAATGATTATAGTAATGATTTCTCAATTGACCAACTTTCAGGGTAGATTAATTATTTTTATATTTGTTCATTTCTTATTTTTTTCGAGAGAATTATTAAATTTTACTTAAATTCCGTATTATAAAGTTTAACGGATATAATCTTTCATTCTATGGATATCGTGGATAAATGGATTAATAAAGCTAATGAAATACATAGTAAATTCAATTATTATTTCTGAATCGAAGTCTACGGAAAATCAACAAAGGCAACAAGAATTAAATTCCTAAAAGCTGAATGCAGGCAGTAATCAAAGAAAAAAATAAGAATAAAAAAAATTTGCCATTATAAATTGTTTTTGTGTCACTAAAAAAAATGATAAACAATATCCATGGTACATGATAACGTGAATCACATCTTGATTTCTTTTTCTTCCTCAACAATATAATAAATTCCTTCTTGACAAAGTCACTGTCATTTCGTTATTATTTTATGATTTATTATATAACTTTCGCTGTTTTTTATTTTTTCAGTGATCAATCTCAACCCTTCATAATACTGCTACATAGAGAAACCATGAACGCGCGAACATTGTATCTAAAATATGTTGTTAAACCTTGTTCTGACTTTTTTTTTTGTTATTTATGAATTAATAGGAAGGTGAAGAGCGTTTAAAGGTAAGAGGCGCAATCTGAGGTAAGTGATAAGGTAAGCGTTTTCTTGTTTTTGTTTTTTTTTTTTATTTAATTGGCACCACGCGACGAAGATAGAGGAGGTGTCATCTGAGGTAAGTGACAAGGTAAGCGTTTCTTCGTTGTTTATTATTTACTTGTACCACGTGACGAATACGGAAGAAGGTATGTGTACTTTATATTTATTGGGTTGATACAAATATTCATGGTTTCTCTAAGGTAAGTAAGTTATCAATGTATATTCTTTAAGATTTATTTATTCCACTATAGAAAATTTTGGGTCAATATTATGTTCTATCATATCAGATATGTTTTCATATATGTAATAAATTTATTTTAGAAGCCACTCTATTATGTACAATCGCGTCGCAAAGGAACACCCGATTTTATTAAAATAAAAAATTTCGATATGTACATATTATGAACATAAAGTTTTTTTTATAACTAACTAATGCTCCCTTTGCATCCAATGCTGTTTCAATTATTTATGGCATTGAGTCCACAACCTTCCTAAGAATTGATACATTTAAATTTTGATCACTCTTACTCAAAGCAGCCTTGAGCTCATCTACAGTTTTTGGAAATTTTTTTTTTTTTTCTGAATATTTTCCTTTAACAATTTCCAGATGTTAAGGTCAATGTTTTAATTTTTTGGTTTTTTATTGTACCATAAAAAATCATTATATAACATTCATACAGTTGTAAAAAAAATAAATGGATGAGAAAAAAAAGAGGAAATCAGTTGTGAAAATATTACATATTGTTAATCGGACAATGCAATCGTACATGAATTTGTTATAACACGATCTTTATCTAAAAGAAAATGGCTTAATTTAAATAAAAGAAAAAAAGATATGCATCTAAACTTGGTAAATTTATGTTATAAGCTTGATGTATGCACATAGTTTTATTTTATAAAACAAATACTTATTATCATTATTTAATGACATTCAAAAAACATATTTTTTAGTTAAGTGTAAATGAAAAATTATCATTTATAATCTAGCTCTTGAAGATGGTGAAAAGATATCTTAAGCTCTAATACTTGAGAAAAAATTTATATTTTATGTATAATGGCAAATAAATATTTAAGAATGTAGCAAATATATTAAATAATAGCAACAGATCGAAAGCCCTGGTTCTTGGCTACAAGATGATGTGTTTCATTTCTGTAACATCAATATTGTGGAGATATTCCGTGTAAATTTTCTGCCATAAATTTTAAAATTTTATGGCAGAAATTTTTCACGGATGTTCGACTTTAAATGCGAATTATGTATATCTCTGATTTGTGATAATTATGATCTTTATTATTGTTATCATTGTATTTCTTTAATGCAACCCTTTATACTCATCTCACAAACAATCAGATCGTAGAAAATATATAATATAATTTGACTTTAAAACAAAATAACAAATGCATTATATGATAATTTTGGTGATAATATTCTTTATTCATCTTTGAAAACTATAATAATAATAATGGCATAGAGTAATTTTTTTTTTTTTTTTGTAATGATTAAAAGAGTAAAAAATTTCAATGCATGGAAGGAAAATTACAGATATTGAAGAGTATCCAACCTTGTTAAAAAAAAAAAATCTTCATTAGCAGGTAATCTTGACCATTTTTATTTGTTTTTATATTCTATAATGGTGTGGGGCGTCGCACCATATACTGTATTTGGTTCCGCGAAAATATAGAATACGTGGTGAATGCTAATTTTGATTGTTTTATTTGACAAGAAAATAGGGAAAATATACAAACTTTTTAAGTCTTATATTATTTTTTTTTTTAACTCTCTTTATAATCTTTCTTTTTCTAATAATGGACAAAGAAGAATATATCTGATCATAATCTAATCTATTGAAATAGCAAAAAATACACTGTACTTTTGAAAAAAACCTTATCAGAATGATAATGAGTGCATGTTTTAGCCAAGACACACGACCGTTTCTTAGATTACACGTTAAACTTCTTTCAGAATAGAAAATTATTTCTTTAGAAGTTTATTTACGGATAGAACTGAGGAATTAAATATATAATTAAATAAATTTAGTAAATTGGCTAATTATCTGCACAGATAATCTCGATTCTTTTTTTTTTTTATGGCGTTTCTTTTTTATCAATTTCCATTATAATTAATAGTAATATAATTATATAAAAAATTCTATTGTGATTTTTATTAATCAAATTAATGATTATGCGAGTTATTTTATATTTAAGGATAAAGATTTTATATAAAATTTTTTCTCAAAACAATGTTTCACCTTTTTATTTTACGTAAGGAAAAAAATTTCTTTGCATGATTACAATTTAATTAAACTTATTAATGCAAACATTAAAATAACGTAGAATTAGCTAAAATTCAAATAGCATTCAATTCTAAAGTTTTTTTTTAACGTGAAGGTTCCACGATTCGTAAATTTTTTTTAATAATTGTTTGTTTTCGCATTGTCTTTTTTTTCAAAATAATTTTTTCGATATTTTTTCATATGAATAAACACGTGTTAAAATAAAAAATTATACTTTGTTTTTTTTACCGGAAAATCCTCCACACAAGACTTTGGAAAAAAAATAAGTTATAGATGGGAAAGATGGGAAAGAGTTTCAAATGACAAAGAAACCTTCTGACCCCGGTTCATTATTATATAATTCTTGAAAGAGAATGATAATGCAAGTTTGAGTAATTTATGCAGGTTTGAATTTCGCAGGAAGTTATCGGAGTAACTCTGAAATTTATATTCATGTTACCTGCCTTTTTGAACTAATTTTTAATTATTTTTTTTTTTTTTTTAAATTTTAGTCAGTCTTTAATGCATTGACCGATACTTAGTCAAGAAAAATTTTCTCACCAAGCAAAAAAAAAACCTGTCAAACTCTAATTCAAATGCGATCAATCAACCAAAACGAGCTTAATTTTTTTATTCATTAGTCTTCATTTATTGTCAAAGGAACAAGTTTTTTAGTTTTTTTTTTTTTAGGCACAACGTTATTCAATTGGAAAAAATTTTTCAGGGGTTGTAATTATTTATTTCACATGACACATGATGCTATTATTGCATACAAAGAGTAGACTTCCCATATAACAATGACTCGAAAGCGCGAAGGATTTTTAAATGCAAAAGAAATAATGAGGAAAGATAGGAAATAATAATTAATAGAATGAAGAACACAATTATAATAAAAAAAATTATGAAAATCATGCAAAGACAAATGTTCAAAAAATTTTTATTGCATCTTTTAATGATTGATCTGTTTATGGTAGATATTTATGATTTTTTTATCAAGCAAAAAAAAAAAAATAAAACAGTTATTTAATTATGCAAAGTAAAAAATGTATTTTCTTTTTTTGGGGGGAATTTTAAGATAATACTATTAAGGATTTTTTTGTTTAAAAATAATTTATTTTTTAAAGATTTTCAAACCTAAATTATAGTAAAATCTCATGTGAATTATGCATGATATGATAACACTCCTATAATAATATATAAAAAAAAATAAGGGTCGAGACTTACAGTGTAAAAATAAATTTGGTTACTGAAAATTCGAACCCCTGAAATTGATGCATCCCGCGCTTTAGTTTTTTTTTTTAAGAAAAAAATTAAACTATAAATTTTAACCTCGGAAATTCTTACATGATCACGCGAGAACATCGTTATTTGGTTAGGTGAAATTCTTTGATATTTAATATTTAACATTTGTATGAACCATTTGATTTATTTCTTATGTTTATTAAGCATAAATTAGCATAAATTAAGAGTGAGTGAATGACAACAATAAAATTATTCTTATTGTTTTTATTTGCAAAAACTTTTATCGTAATTTATATGATGTTATGCAATGAGACAATAAACAAGAATCAAAGAATTCGATACTAAATTAATGCATCAATCAAAGAAAAGTGGATGCTGGATTAATGCATAAATCAAATGAATTATTCTAGAAGTAATGTTGAAAAAAGAAATTAATACTAAATTACCAATTCTGGAATTAATAAACTTAATTATGGTCTTTGATTCATGATGATGAATCCAAGGAAATAATAAAATGTCGAATTACTTGAGTCACTTCTTTTGAGTCACTTTTTTTAGGGTTCACTCTTCTATCTCTATTCAATCTTCTCTCTCGCACAAAATCTTTTTTTTGGGGGGGGATACATTTTTATTAACTATAAAATAGGAGTTATTGCATATATCTATAATATCATTTCGGGTGTTAAATATTTACATTGTGGTGTTTATGATGTATACATTTATGCATTATAATGTTTCAACAATCATTAAAATAGACAGTTTATAACAATTCATACGCAATTTATATCTGTTATTATATGAACGTTCATCAGTTATACAATATATAAATATATTTTAATAA